CACTCTCCTGTTTCTTACTCTCAGCCATCCTTCCTCCTTGCTTTCCTCTGCTTCTCCTTTACTAACATGGTCTCATTCCTCTAGATTTATTGGTGCCGGGGGTGAGTTGGGCCCTCTCTGAAGGCACATTGAAAGGTACAGAGTTTCCAGCATGTTCTATGTGTCCCTTTTAAACCCCCCCACCACCACCAACCACGACCACCCACCATGGTGGCTAGGGTTCTAAGTTCAGTGATCACGGGAGGTAGGGCCCCATCACGCGCCCCCGCCCTCCTGCCTCTCTCCCATCAGCTCTCAGTACACTGGACATGCTGTTACCTGTTTTCTATGTTGTGGCTTTGTCTTTCACAGCTCTTCCACACCGTCTGCGATCCATCTACTGTCCACAGCACTGCACCGATGCACCACCAAGAGAAGACGACTTTGGTTTAGTTAGGTTTGTCCTGAGATGGAGATGTGTTGAGACAGGGTACTGAGGGGTAACAGATGTTGAACACGTCTTGAGAGAGAGAATTCAAAAGCATCTTTTTCTTCACAAACCAAGGACACTATTGTCCTGTTCTTTTAGCAGACATTTAAAGAATAATGCCAGTTTATAACAATAAAGGCCTTGTTTTCATTGCAATGGTCATCTGTTCTATTAGATAAGATAAGTAATTGCTGAGATCTGGGAACACAATGACATTGCTACACTGAAATGTGGCAGAGTACGAAACATGAGCACCTTCAGACAGGTTGTAACAAGACTATATATACAGATGTAATGTTTACTGTATCAATTGTCTTAGTGAGTTAAGATGCTAACATTTGCAAATTAGCGCTAAGCACATAAAACAGCTTAGTTTTGCAAGTATTTAGTGGTTAATTTTAGCACTTGGCAAAGTGAATCTGGTGATAGAGATATCTCACTCAGAACAATAAATGTCATCCTCATGGTGCTAGATAAAAAGCCAGGGCATCACTAAAACCAGTCAGCTGATAGACTGACACCGCCATCCCTTGAGCCCAAAAGCAGGCGACAGCTTATCCAAATTATCAAAGTCACTTTATCTTGAAGTAAAGCTGAGACTGAGTGCACCTGAAATATTGGTGACCATTACCAACAGAATTGATGGCCAAAGCTATGAAAATAAGAAGCATGTTTTAATAACCGTGTTTAATAACTTGAGTAGCTTGATCTGTCTTTCTCTTCAGGCAGTGTCATTACAGTCCATTGCTGTTACTGTAGATTACAGCTATAGGTCAGAGAATTTGATCAGGTTGTACAAGGTGTGCCACCTTGGTTGAACAGATTATCTCTGCTGCAGTCATTCTCTAATAATGCCCTCAAGTAAAGGCCACGGGGCCTCATTAAAAGGTGTTGGACACAGAAATTCAATCAAGAGCATTCTATTATTTTCCCAGTGAGTCTGTGCTGAGATTAAAAGCTTAATGGATGATGGCCAGTGCTAGGTTATGTAGATGTAAGCAACATTTTTTAGTTGCTAGCACAGAAGCTCATTGTCCAAATAGTTTCTAAAATAGTTTCTTTGGTGGAAAAAAAATGTATGTCTAGTTTATCAGATGTGCATCAGGAGGACACCGTTATTAAATCATGTTCAAAAATAGAATTAGGGCTCTTGCCAAACTGCATAAGCTCATCTTGAGCTAATTTTCTGCAACATACTGTGTACAAAGACTACAGCAGTACAAGTTATTAAGCGAGACCACAACAGGTTTGGCTCAACAGCAGTTGGCTCTTGTTGGACATAAAGGTCATCTCAGGGCTGTCTGACCACTCTGACTGATTTACTGGCACACATGGCTGAATTGTTGCAACTAGTTTCCATGGCAATCCGGTTAAGGTATTGTTATGATACTGTATGTGGAAGCTGCTGAGATGTGTTGTTACATAATGACAACCATTTCTCTGATGTGATGTCTTTGTCTTTGTTTGCTGATACGGTACGTTACCAGGGCTAATGTGTGTTAAATAAGGGCATATTCCTGGAAGGTAGACTTGACTGTGCTGGATTGTGTCCTTGTGTGTGTGAGTGTATCGGGGAACAGATGGTTGCAGAACAGGTTGTAAAATATGTAGGAGCAGCTCTCATCCCCAGATCCCTTCTCATCTCAGCCTAGAGAGAGGGGCAGGACCCCCACACCCTTTTGCTGATTCTATGGGGCATTCTGCTTCAGGACATGAGGGTTTGTAGTATGTTGATACTTTTACCCAAAGGTAATTACAGAACTGCCAAATCACAAAGCTCTCACATAAAACACAGTGTGGTATTTGTGTAATTATATTAGAAAAAGGCGTTTGTGTATGTTTTGGCTTGCATGATTACCATGCACAGTGTATTTGTGTGTGAGCATACGGACCCTTTATCTTTAGTTTGCACTGCATTGGAGCAGCCATTTATGGAGGGTAGATGTAGGAGAGGAACAAAGAGAGGAGAGAAAATGATGGAGGAGGTGCATTAAGATTTTGACTGAAGACAGAGGGAGGAGAAGAGGACAAACGTTGGGGTGCGATGGTATTCTGTGTAGTACTCAATGGAAAGTAGATCCAATCGTAACTATGCAACTACTGTATGTAATTATAGACGTGTATATATTAGAAAAACACCAGGGTGGTAGACTATTTAAACCTTAAATTATTTTTTATGCTGTACACACTTTATGTTGGCATACTATGACATTGATAGAGGTGATTTTCCAGCAAAATTCATTTTGTGTGTAAAATCATGAACGTCTGCTCAAATTTAGCTTTTGTTTGCTTGGATTTTTAAAGTATGATTTATTTTAAAATTATACTGGGAGAAACAGAATTGAAGGGTGTCATTATCTCTTAAGACTTGGACTTGAGTGAGACATAAATCATGAACATTTGGACCTCGACAACTCCTCTGATAAGTGGCTCACATGAGACTTGACTACTCACACAAGTCAGTACCTTGAGCTAAATACTAACATCAGCATGCCGACAGTGGCAATATTAAATATTGTAAAAAGCCTCAGGTCTATATAGTGTTTAAGGCTCATTACCAAATATAAGCACCCTATAAAGCTAAACTAACAACATGGATCATGGTAAATATTATACCTGCATGTTAACTAAAAACCAAACTGCCAAATGCTGGTGCTAGAGTAAAAGTCTGGAGATCACCAAAATTAGGAGGCTCCATTCTGTGCAGACCATGAATGTCTGTGCCAAATTTCATGGCAGTCTATCTAGTAACTGACTGACCGACCAGCAGACAGACATCATCCTACCTAGAGACATGCTACTAGCATGGCTAATAAACACTATTAACATGGATTTGAGAGGAAGAAAGTTCAAATGCAGTCTCACCTTCAGGAACCTGAAACATTTGCATCCTGACTCATTTGGCTTATGAAGACTCATTCTGAAAGACATAAAGACTTCTCTGAATCACACACACCCACTGTCATAAACTGGGACTGGAGAAAAGAGGCTG